TTCATACCTTTCCAAATGATATTTTGTGTTTAAATGAACATAAACTTGATTAAAATTGTAACTCAGCTCTCTGATTTCCCATACTGAATCATTATCCATTACACCACCTGCACATTCAAGTTTACAGCACCTATTATTCTCACCCATCTTGATACTGTCCAGGCTTGATGTTGCTTAACTTCAGTGATTGAATAAGAACCAGTGTTCCGGCATGATATTGTGTGTGCGTCATTTACTGGAGAAATATATTCTACTTATCTCTCTCTCTTTTGTGTGTAAGTGTGTGGTGTGTAATATGAATACAAAATAAAGGATGCTGAAAATTTCCTGGCCTGATCCATTCCCAAAAACCTGAACAAACACAATAGTATTTATTCATATGAAAAAGGTTTCTTGATTGGGTGAAGAAATTTTCAGCATACCTTTTATTTATATATATATATATATATATATATTTCCAAACAAGTTTTATTAAATCCTAATATACAACATTTTAAATAAAATAAAAAATTAAACAGAAATTATCAATTGAATTTAATGGAACTTGTTTGGATGAATAATTGCTGTTTAAATATACCTTCTGAGATCAATGAAAGCACTTTCATACATATTTTGTTCTATAACAAACAAGAAATATCTTCACCATTAAATCTATTCATCTTGAAGAATTATCAATCCTGAATCACAGGACAAACAAAAGCCAATCCCATAGTTTAATACTATTTTACAATTTGCAATAGCAATATTCATGCATAACCAAATTTAAGCCCTATTTTTTGTACTTCAGTTTGGTTAACTTATAACGTACATCCTGAAGTCATTTGATGGTAAATTATTCAAACGTCTTAGATAAAGCATTGCAAATAATTATTCATTTATTTTCATTTCATTGGCTTTTTATTGCAACTCCCACATTGTCATTCTCTAATTTATAGTAAGCAGCATGGATTAGAAATAAATTATCTGCCTCTGGTAAGACTTGAACTAGACTCACACACCTGGGACAGCTAGCTGCCTTACCAATTCAGCTACAAAAACAATCAAAATCAATCATCAAATTCAAAGCATATAGCACTATTCCTTATTTTCCCTAAATGCTGAATATCTTTTATCTTTGTTGACATACACAAGTAACATTAAATGAAATATTAGAAAATGGGTTAAATTTTACTTTGACTCAATACAGACATTGTAAAACCAATATCAGTTCTTATTTATTAAGTGATCTGTTAATTTGGTTCTTTTTAAAAATACTGAAACAATAGCAAAATTATACAAACAACAGAATGAGCACCAAATGGATTGCAATGATTAGCAGTGACTTTGATTCTTACTGGTACTCTATTACTGTGGCCTTGTGCCAGACTAGGCTCAGCTAGTCAAGCAAAAGATTAAATACAAGTTTATTACACTAAAAAAGAATTAAAAAAAACAATGTATTTTTATTTATTCATCTTTTCAACATGTTTTTTCCTTTGATAATATATTTAAGCAAATGCATAAACAAACATCTATTTTAAAACATGTTACATTTATTTTCACAGAAGTATGGGTTTAAATAATTGTAAATATGTTTGAATTCTGATACAACATTATAGTTGGTTCTTTTTCTATACAGCTGATAAGGTGAGTAGCTGACTGTTGATTCTTTTTCTGATGTGAAGCAGGAATTTAGCTACAAGGACTAATGGGGAATTGGCCAAGTTAAACAATCTAAAAACTGCTTTAAGAAAAAACAAAACAAAAAACACCCATGCAAATAAATTAAAACTGGTATAGAATCACTTTTGCTGCAAGATAACATTTTAATATTACTAGTTTCCTTGGTGGGTAGTATGACTCCTGTTGCACTTAACAATTAGTCTTTTTAATGTCATTCATTAATGACCTTTCCATATGTTTTTATGCACTGGAAAAGAAACAGGATTCTTGTACTTTATGTAATTTCACCACTTTTTTTAAAATATTTACTGGCTCATAAAATATACTTTAAAAAGTATCAGAACATTACACAGCATTAGATGTGTTGGGATTACAGATAAGAGGCTGAGCATCAAGTTAGGAGTTGCAATACTGACAAACATTTAGTCCTTCACAATGACCAAGATGGTCAAAAGTACAAGAACAAAAACATGACAGTTTATCCACAATTTTCATCTGGATGTGCAGCAACAACTTATTTTAAAATTGGAAAAATACAATTAAAAAAACAGTGAGAAGTGAAATTAATACTGAAGCATTAATACATTAAAGCATGAAACTGACATTTACCATTCACTGTTGATTCCAACGTCCACACTCTCTCTCTCATATATATATATATATATATATATATATATATATATATATATATATATATATAGTTTTAATCTGAGATTTTTATTACTCCAAACATTATTATAGTGGATACTCTGGATTTGAAGTAGACAATCCATTTTTATTTATTAAACGCTGTGTATTACATCTATCATTCTGTGCATTCAATAAATATTAATAAAGAGAAATGCATTTCCTCGCAATAGTCGAACCTATGTCCCACTTTGCTGGAGAAACGACCATTTGATCTAGTGTGCTTTACCACTCAGTCATAACAAATGCACAGTAAGCAAGGTTCTATTTTTCATTATTTAGGAAATCACACCCTCTTCACTTAGATTATTTTCTCAAAAGCTTCATATCAGCTCAGTTTCAGATCCAAAACATCAACAAAGCAATTTCTAAAGAATTAATGGATTTATGTATGTTGACATAGCATAGCAAAATATATAACTTGAGATAACCATTAACTGATAGGAAATACTTTCTCCAGGTTAAACATTTTTTTATATTTTTTTCTTGTGAGGTTTTAGGGGCAAAAAATTCAAAACAACATTCAGTCTCAACTGCAAAACAGTGTTACTCAGTATCTGCTTTTATCTAAGTGTCAATAAGATTCAATGTAAATTTAGAAAAAAAATTAGAGTATAATTATCAATTTGTTTCTATCTTAAAAATGTGTACAAAAATAAATTTTAAAAGATTCAAAGACAGTTTATCAATCAATCATAATAAAATTGATTTAATATTTTAAGTTATCGAATTAAAAATAAATAATACTCTTTCTAAAGGTAATAATGCATTTTCTTATGAGAATGACTTCGCAAAAACTTTTCAAATATGAGTTACCTCCCCTTAATCAGGCACGCAAGCACTATTTTATAAACTTTAAAGCAATTATTATCATTATCACTATTATTATTATAATCATTATTATTATTAATTTTCATTTGAAACTGTGCGGGATTTTAAGGGAATATACATATTTTTTTGTACGTATATATTTATGAAAATAATTTAAATTTTTAATCAGAATTTTTTGAATGATATGATGATAAATTGGAAAATTGAATTTACATTGACAATAAATCTTGTGCAGTTGAGGGAACTTGAAAAAGAATGAAGTGGATCTGTAAATAATGCAAAGTGATGAAGGTTAAAAAAACAAACAGTAATTGTCCACTTAGAGATTCACATTTATTGGAATACAGTTTGGATGTCTCCTTTTTGTGTACTTAGGTAATTTTTTCAAAATAATTATATTTTTTTGTATTATACATACTTGTTTCTTCCTCACATTTATTTTGAAATACATAGCAGCAGTAAACCAGCATGCATTTATTTATTTACCGTCAAGTCATGTGACACAATTTTCCAGCTATACAGATTACATTTTACAATGACTCGCCCACACAGTCTCTTCACCTATCCAGTACTTGCCACACACCAAGATATTTGTTTATAAAAATGTTATAATGTAATGTAATAAATTGCATAAATATGTTTTTTACAATTTACTTAATAATGTTGTTATAATGTATCATGAATGTTTATTATTTTTCACACACATAACACTTGTAATATAATATGCAAGAGTTTATTTATATATGCAGATTGATATAAGAATGTGTATTGAAAACAAATACTGAATGCTGTAAAAAAAAAAAAAAAAAAAAACGATCCTAGGTCAAGAACCCCTTGTCTAATTTTAATGAAATTTGGCACTGTACTTGGCAGGGATTCAAGGTACACTATGGTCTTAAATTGGTTATGGTATAATGTATTGTTTAAGCTGTATCCTGGGAACACACATATAAGTTTAGAATTTTAGTATTATATAGATGGACTAATTTTTTTTTTTTTTTAATTATATTTTGTCTAATGTTGATTTTGTTGGAAAAACTTTTTTTCTGATAAGACCAATCTTTTCACAAACATGTCAAAAATGTAAGTTTTCCAAACCGTCTTTTATATATATATATATATATATATATACATACACACACACATATATATATATATATACACATACATATAAAATAATGGCCAACTACTCATTTCCAAGCATACCAACCTGCAAGTGTATTTAACTAATCCCTGTTACAGACACCACTCACTCATTTCCCTTTTTTCCCCAATACCAATAGAGCCCCCCTGTGGCTTATACTGCATCTATTGCTGAACAGACCTTTGTTACAATTCCTGGGAGAGAGCACATCAACTGGTGTAAACAACAATTTGAACAAGGCCAGTCCACTCAAATCCTCTGTCACAATGATTTATGACTGTGCTAGCATAACCATTGACGGACATAATACAGTTCTGTCTACGAAATTTCATTTACAAGGCTTGGCTTGATTTTCAAGCACTTCCTCAAAAGTGCAGCATGTTAAGATCACATTCCTAGGCCAATAACAAAGAAATCACCTTCCCAGCAAATCGACCATTAGATTCAAATCTAGGTCTCATGGTCAGATATATATATATCTATATCTATATATATATATATATATATATATATATATATATTGCTTTGTGTGTGTGTCTATAAATGGTTAAATGTGCATCATGAACATCTGTATAATCCCACTCCAATGCAAAAAGAAAAATACTTCTTTAGAAAATGGACTACAGAATATACAGCATAAAAAATAAAATAAATAATTATTAGTGCTCTTAATGCATCAAGAGGGTATAACATACTTTGACAACAATAAAAATGTACTCACCAGACTGGTTGTACTGATGCTAACAGACTTATTTGAGTATGTACGTCGAGGGCTTCTGGGACTTGCCACTCTGCCACTGACTGGAGAACATGGTGGTGAACCTGGACATATGCGAGGAGTGGTTCGGATACCCCGGGGAGAGCTGCCAACCCCAAGGACAGGCAACAGCTGAGGGATGACATCTCCTTTGGCTATTTGAAGTAAATTTTGTCGTAAAAGCTGCTGGGTGTCTGGTTCAGACAGCCAATGCAGAAACAGCTCATCCACCTTCTGACGTAAAACAGGTTTCAAAGCCATCACTCCATAACCTGCAGTGACATACATCTAACCAGCAGAATACATGATCTTCTTGTCAAGGAACAAAAATCTAAAACAAAAAAAAAAAATGGAGAAAGTAAAATAATAATTTAAATATATGATGCCAATCTTAGACCCTACAATAGAAACAATAAATAAATATCACTTTTTTTGGCAAACTCACACATATACTTATTTATATATATATATATATATATATATATATATATATATATATATATATATTTTGTGTATGTGTGTATGTGTGAATGTAAATAACATATTGCACACATTGAGTGCTGGTGTTAATAAAATAGTACTCATATAATAAATCTAAAATTTATATTAATAATATACATTTTTTTTCTCACTTTTGCTTATATACTCAAATTTATAACATATGCCAGCTGAGAAGTTACTCTTTAGCTTGTTTTTAGACTCAGGCCACACCCATCCAACAGCCCTTTGTCCACTATCAAGCTGGCTATATAAGAGGACCTTAGGCATTCTGTCATCACTCATCCTTTTAACATGACCAGGTAAGTCCCAATTTCAACAATGTTGCATTTTGTGAAAAGATCAGCATTAGACACCCTTTCGTCAAAAGTATAGCCACACTGTGTATATACACTACAGTTCAAAAGTTTGAAGCCCCCCCCCCCAGAATTAGCATGGGATGAACTTGATAGAAGAGTGAAAAAATAATGAAAAAGAGCTCTTTGAAGAGTCATTGAAAAAAGAATGGAACCAATTGTCAAACTTATACTTTGAGAAAATTTTGCAATGAATGCCAAAAATCTGTGCTGCAGTAATCAAGGCTAAAGGTGGATATTTTGATGAGAGCAAAATTTAATCATAAAATGTTATTTTTAGTCATAATAAAATTTCTAATTGTCTCACAATTTTTTCTTTTTTAAAGTACAAAAAAACTATTTTGGGGGCCAATTTAAAAAATTGCCATGGGCAACCTCAAACTTTTGAACTGTAGTGTATAACACACACACACACACACAATGATGCTGAAAAGTTCTCAACCCAACCAAGAAGCTCTTTCTAAAAATAAAAGATAATTTGAAAGAGGGTTAGGCTGAGAGCATTTCACTAATTATTCACAAATCCCCAAACTCTTTGTTTGTGCTTGAGTTACTTCTCTTGTATTGATGTTGCCAGGTGGCATTGTCTTCATTATGACAATGGCAAAGTGTCTGAATGTTTACAAAGCCTGAAGCTGAATAGCTAAACTCTGTAAAATAGCAGAATACAATGATAATAATTAGAAAAGATATATTTAAAGAGTGACATGCAAAATCTTGTGTTCCTATGTATCTTCTTCTATGAGGCATGTTTCTTCAAGATGTGGTTTATCACATCTTCCTATCCCTTGTAACTCTTAATGACATTTGTCATTTTATCATCCCTCCTACCATCATTCATTCACATAAGCTAAACAGGTGAGTGGCCCCACTACCTCCACCTGTCCCTTTTTCCTTCAATATGTCCTGAAGTGTACCAAATTCTGCAAGACCCATTCCTAATTATGTTACCAAAAAATCTCAACTCTCTTTCTGATTTTGAGCATGTGTCCTTATACACTTTATCTGTTATTCTCAGCATCCTTCTGTAGAACTGCATTTCTGTTGCCTCCTGACTCTTCATCATCGATAGGGAGATTGTCCATCATTTACTGCCGTATAGGACAATTGATGCTAGATAGTAGTTCAACACTAATATATACACTATTCTATACATAGTTTATATGACAACTGAACAAACTCCTCCATTTTCGTTATGACCTCCTTTCACTGTAATCTAATGTCTTTTCTAAAGAGAGAGGTTCAGATGATTCAACTCATCTACATTGCTTTTATTTACTTTTTTTTAATAATTTCACCCCAAGCAAGCCAATAAAATCAATAATACTCTAGGATTTTTTTTAATGAGTATAAAAGAATATGAGAAAAAAAAACATTATTACAGAAATAGAATAAAAGAACAGGAATTAAAGGACAAAGATAACAATTGATATTTTTGCATTTAAATTTTTGAAGATCATAGTTGACTAGAAAGCAAGAAGCTGAAAGAGTTCCACAAGCAAGGTGTGCAAGAGAAGAACCTATTAGCATAGAAATTATGGTTATATCTAGTAACTTTAACTGTAAAAATATATGACCTAGGTACCAATCTAGTACTGCACTTAAATAGTTACTAAAGTGGAAAGGTCATCAGAACAATTATTGTGAAAATATTTATAGAAAAGACACATGAAATATGAATTATGGTGATGGGAAAGTGACTGTAGCCAAGATACCAGTTCAGATAAAATTGCAGATTCGTCTTTGGATATTATCAAAAATCTCTAAATACATAGAAGCACTAGACCAGATGTGGTAGCAATATTTAATGCATGGACAAGAAAAAAAAATATCTAGCATGACACAGTGAACCAACTTTTCTAGCAGCAGACCTAGCAATTGATTCAATATAATCTTTCCATTTCATGTCAGCTGAAAGCATTAGCTGAAGAAGGCACAAGTAGTCATTCTCCTGGAGGTGAGCATCAGCAATGCTGATGGAATGAAAAAAAGGTTCCCTAAGATGATTAAAAGAAAGCAGTTTCATTTTGAAACTTATGATGAATGTGTGAAACAAGAAAAATATGATCCATTGAATTAAATTTTTGACATCACAAAAGAATGGCAGTTTAGTGAGGACAAATGGTTATATCATGTTCAGATTGAAAACAAAGGCCATGTTGAACATACAAGTCTATGAGTTCCAAAAACTATTCATCCATCAAAAAGAAGAAAAGTGACCTTAGAGTGAACTTTAACAACACTAGCAACAACTTTCTAATCCAAGACTGAATCAGAGACCCAATCAAAGAGTGAATATGAAGAGTTCAAAAGTTTTGAACAAGAAAAGGGACAGCAAGACCAAAACTGCAACCATCTTCAAACTTAATAAGCAAAGCAGCAAATGTTTGTCAGCACTTATTTTAAGAAGGTGTTAAACTTAAAGAGGAAATGAAGAAAACACTACACTTGGGAAATTGGCCATTGCATTTTGATGGTTAATGAAATGATGGCCAAGAATAGCAAGTGCTTGTTTTGAAGAATGAAAGAAGACAAATTAGAAGCATTACATCTGCCAAATGGAAAAGCAGATACTCTTGTCAAAGGAATAAATGTTCTGGGTTGTTATGGAAGAGCATAAAGAAGAATTTGTAAGCGTTGGAAGGTGGTCATTAACAGGACTATGAATAAATGAAAACTACCAGAACAACTATCTTTTTCCACAGTTATCAAACTTTTCAATATTTGTGTTTGTTAATTTATGTACAACTCTTTTGTAATTTTTCTTGCTTTCTAGTGCTTTTGTTTATCTAACATTATATATTTAAAAAAAAACAAAAAAAAACACTGATTTTGAAAGAAGCTTCAACAACACAGAATATATGTAATGTTTATACATGTACATTATATATGTTCCAAAGATTGTTAAAGTTGGGGAAGTAGTGGTGACAAGTTCTCACTCTCTATAAAATGCTCCTATAGCATGCATCTTAAATAGACTCTGATAACTAAGTCCAGCTCTAAGCCAGAAAAGGGGTAAAGGTGGACCACTGGCACCTCATAACCAGCTGGTTCAAGTAGATGGAGCTTGTAGATGAGAGGAAAACTCTAATTTTTAAACCTCCACTGCCTTATGGCCATATCTAAACACAGAAAAGGCTATGGAAGTAAATCCAGACAGAAAACCTAGAGTGGAGCTTGAAAGGTGATTGGGTGTCAATACTGACATCCTTCCAGAAACTCCTGCAATCAAACCAATCCCAAAGATAATGCTCTATATTCCTTTGAATCTTGGGGGTGGGGGTCATGTGATCTGGGCAATGCATGGCCTCTATATAACACCACCCAGGCCTGCACCCTGGAAAGGCACTCTAGTCTCTCCATCCTGTGAGAGTACAACATAGGATTCAAACCTGTATCTCCTTCATAGGAGGAAACACCATCTCATCTAGCATGCTTTAAACCACTCAGCTACAGATCAGACAGTGGTTCTTCCTACAAAGGTGGACACAGGTTTAAATCCAGCCAGAGAGCATATTTTCTAACTTTTATCAAATGTTCAGACTGGTAGATAAAATGAACACTGTTTAAAAAAACAGGACATTCTACTCAAATACACATATCCACTGAAAATAACATTTGAAGTAATAAAAATATATTGGATTATAAATAAAAATCCCTTAACTCTTTAAAATTTGCTTTGTTTACATTTCAGTTACAAAACTGAGCAGATATGACTTTCTAGAAAAAATCTAAATGGGATGTTGATTGATTGACTGATTCATTTTCTATGGCTCATCAACACTTTGCTGGTTATTTAAAACCAGAAAATATTTTTTAGATTGTAAGAATTTTTTTTGTACAAATTTTACTAATTTACCCATTGATAGGGAGAAGAAGTGGATTCATACCCAGGGTATTTGCCTGTAAGTGAATATAATGAACCCAACAGAAATTGGAACTTGGTTCTCTGATTAACAATTCTGAGCCATTATCCATTATACCACCCATCATTCCAAGCTTACAGAACCTGGTCTTCCCAAGCAGTCACTCATCTAGATACTGCCCAGGCTTGACATTTCTTAGCTTCAGTAATCATACAGGAACTGGTGATGTGGCTCTATGCCTGAAGAAGATGTGCTTTAAGGCCAATAGAACCTTGCTTGGCTGTGAGGCTCACTGTAGCTCAATGGTTTAAAGCACACCAGATCAGATGGTAAAGGGGGACATGCACTCAAATCCTGCTAATCCATCTAAATTCTACTACAAATCTATACTTCTAACATCTCTGACTAAATGCTGGAATTTATACTATTATTGTGCTTCTGTTTCTTTCTGAAGTATTTTCCTTTTCTTTCACTTCCAGTAGTTCCTTGCATAGTGGCATTATTGCCTTGCTTGGGATGAATTGAGTATAAAAAAATCTACTCACTGGACTATAGTCAAGTGTAAAAACAAGGATATTAATATAAATTTGTTCAGAAACATTAAGAGAAAG